CTCAACTCTTGCAGGAATTGCGAGTAATTTAAAATTGGGCCAAAAGAAAGCTCCTGCTGTGAATGCACAATTCACGGGAATACTGAAAGAGGTCATGCGTGTCAAACTTGATGACGATGTATTGACAGAAACGAAAAATCGTTATACCAGGCCAGTAAATTGCGAGTGCTTGGAACCAACCCAGGTTAACCATCTCCTCTGGGATAAATTAAAACATGACACACGCTCAAGTGACTTAAAGCTTCAGCTTATTCAGGCCAATTTACTGAAGGAAATCATTCCCATCGTACTGGTAGTTGAACAACTGGTCAAAGTCCAGGACAAAATATCAGAAGAATTATTGGATATCCCATCTCTAATTAGAACGGCCACTGACTCGGTAGCCTTGCTTGGGGCAGCAAATTTTGGCCTCAATATGCAAAGAAGAGATAACATAAAACCAGAGCTCAATGCAGACTACAAACATCTATGTTCACCTACAGTGCCATTCACAGATTTCCTATTCGGAGATGACCCTGACCTCTCTAAGCAGCTAAAAGATCTAGCTGAAGCCACTAAGGTTAACAAGAAAATAAGCAAGAACAGTGAATCAAAACAAGATTCATACAGAGGTCAAAATTACAACCATAAGTCCTACAAGAATAATAGAGGCAGGAAGTTTGGTTGCAAGTACTCACAAAATAAACAGTTAAACTCAAAAAGGCCCAGCTTCTCAACTCACAAACAAAAGGAGGAGGAGAAGAAGCACAAATAAGGCCTCAAGACCCCTCAACAACAACCGAACAGGTAAAAAACACATTTATTGCTGGCAGGTTGAAAGAGTTTGTCCCAGAATGGCATAAAATAACCTCTGACCCAGAGGTGCTTGACGGGGTACAACATTGTCATATTGAATTTATTAATGACATTGAGCCTATTGAACTTGGGGGTCATAAGGTATCTAAATTCAACCAATCAGAGCTATCCATTATTGATAGAGAAATTGAGAAACTCCTTAGTAAAGGAGTAATAGAGACTTAGAGGGGGAGTTCATATCTCCAATATTTTGCAGACTGAAAAAGAATAAAATTGATTATCGCATGATCTTGAATCTAAAAGATCTAAACAAGTTTGTTGTATACAAACACTTTAAAATGGAATCCTTGAATCAGTCCAGGAACTTACTACACCAGGTTGTTTTATGGCATCAATAGACATCAAAGATGCCTAATTTTCAGTACCAATTGCTATAGAGCACCAGAAATTTCTCAGGTTTGTGTGGAGGGACAACCTCTATCAATATGTGTGTCTACCAAATGGGTTAAGCTCTGCACCCCGTATATTTACCAAGCTACTTAAACCTGTGTTTAAAGTCCTTAGGGAAAAAGGCCTCTTGTCATCTGCATACATAGATGATCTTTATCTGCAAGGAGATACCTTTCATGAGTGTCATGAAAATGCCTTGAACACAGTGCAACTGCTTAGAGATCTTGGAACGTCTTGTCTGCATCCCTCTCAACAACTCCAATATTTAGGCTTTGTCCTGAACTCAGTGTCAATGACGGTACGACTCTCTCATGCTAGAGTTGAGAGGGTGGTCCAAGCATGTGACAAGCTTCTCAGTAACTCCCATCCCACCATACTTCATCTAGCAGAGGTTATTTGGCTTATGGTCTCCAGCTTCCCCGCCGTGGAACATGGCCCATTATACTACCGTAGCCTTGACATTGAGAAAATTGAGAGTTTGAGACAAACCAAAGGCAATTTCTCTACTGAAATATCTCTCTCTGTTAATTCAAGAGAGGAACTGCAGTGGTGGATTGCAAACCTACCTTTTTCCTGTAAAGCAATCTCACATGGTGAAGCTGATATAGTAATCCAAACTGATGCCTCTTCTCAAGGTTGGGGAGGGGTGCATGGCGACCAGAGAGCAGGAGGCAGATGGACCCCCACAGAAGCACTAAATCACATCAATTACCTCGAACTGCTCGCTATATTTTTATCCTTCAAAGCTTTGTGTGGTGCACGCAAAAAGAAACACATCCAGGTGCAATGTGACAACACTACTGCAGTGTACTACATAAATAAC